ACCTCTGATGTGCGCGCAAGCTCCACAAGGCTTGCTGAACACAGTTGGCCTTCGTTTCAACAAAATATGGAGTTCAATGCCCAGATCTGTTGAAACCAGAGCTGCGTTTAGCAGGTGTTGCAAAATTCATTTGGTTCGGAGGCTGCGGCCAGGAACACCAGCAAATCAAATGCATGTTGGGGCCTCCGGAAACCGAACTATAGCATGTTCAGTACGATTTTCGGGTTTGGGGACGGCATCAGCTCCAGATTTGTTTGTTTCAAAGCCAAATGCGTTGAGCATGCTTTGGGTCGAGCGCTCAACTAAAGCCTCGGGCCAGGGGCACCAGCAAACCTGAGACAGCTCTTACCGCGTTTTCCAAGCCTTGAAACTTGCATTTTGGAGTCCTGGAGACCAAGTTAAAGTATTCTCTGTGTGATTTTCCTGGTGTAGGGACGGTATTTAGCTCCAGATTTCTTGAAACCAGGGCCAAACGCGTTTAGCAGGCGTTGGACAATGCATTTAGGTTTGGTCGGCGGCTTCGGGAGTTCGATATGGGTTCTGGGACTGCGGCCAGGAACACCAGCAAAGCTGAAGCAGTTCTAAGGGTGTTTTCCCAGCCTTGAACAATCCATTTTTGGCCCTACCAAAACAAACTAAAGCATTTTCGAGCTCAATGTTGTCCTGACACCACGACATGCAGCCACCCAGAATCTGCTCGAATCAGCTCCCAGAACTCCGACCAAGCCCAAATGCATGTTTCAAGGCTTGGGAAACTCATGGGAGCTGTTTCAGCTTTGCTGGTGCCTTTGGCCCCGCTCCCGAAGCTTTGATTGAGGCCTCGAAGCCCGCGACCAAGCCGAAATGCATTTTCCAAAATCTGCTAAACGCATGTGGTCTTCGAATCTGGATCTCAACGCCGTCTCTACACCCGAAAATCGTATCGCAAATGCTGTAGTTTGGTTTCCGGAACCCTAACATGCTTTTTTATGCTTGGAACGACGCGCATTTACAGCTGCTTCAGCTTTGCTGAATGCATTTTCCATGGGTCACAGAATTCAAGGCACAGGGACAGTATTTCGCTGGTAACCCTTCATGTAGTAACAACATAGCGGCAGTGATATCACCACCTGATTGGTATGTTCTGCGAGAGAGACAAATGGGAATCTCCAGGATCGCCATGGCTGCATCAAATTCTGACGCTCCATCCAGAGAGAGACAGAAAGTCAAACTGGCTTACAATACTGTAGGCCAGTTAGACTTTCCGTCTCCGAATGAGCTTCTTCAATGCATAGACCCTTTTGCTCTTTCCTTTGACGTTACTCTTGCTGCCCTGCGCCCTTCGGAGGACCCCCTCGTCTTTCTTCTACTTCTCTTCTGCTAAAAGATCTACGACTCCTACTACCACGCGTATTCTTACTCTAGCTCTAACTCTTGCTCGTGCACCTGCTCATACACTTCTCCTGCTACGATTACTGTATGTCTCACTCTAATGGTTGGGCTTATTGTCGCCCGATTTTATTGTTCTTTTTGTCGCTCCTGGTAGGCCGGCCTCCCCTTGAAAGCTCGGTGCCCGACGGTGCCTGCAGCGATGCCCCCGACGGTGATGGTCACCTTGGCCTCAGACCCAGACTCGTGCTTCAAAAGCAGATATCTCCTGATTCTGCTCTCCTGGCCTCCTTGGGCCGGCCGGCAGGAAACAAGAGATGGAAGGCCAGAACGTCTGAGTCGCCCCTCTCCTGCACACAACAGCTCTCGAGAGAGTGTCGAAACCCTTAATGCAAGCGCACCGCTCGTACACATGGGGAGACCGAGCTCTATCCCGGAGAGCGGCGTCCGACATTCCGAGATCTCACAGCAAGGGAACCGCGGTTAGTGATGCGAAGGGAAGACAAGGGTGGTCAGGACTCTGAAAGTCGGTGGGGCCCCACTGAACAAGACCAACCCTTTGCAGAGCCGCAATCAGAAATCAGGAAGAGAGTGCGGCGCAGAAAATCTCACAGGCCTTGATGTAGCCTTCTTCCCATGTCTGGAGGGCCGACACGAAGTCAGGTGCTCCGAAGTCCGTATGGGAAATGCAGCGCTTATACTTGGAATCCCAGAATGGGTTGTGGGCCTTGGTCAGCACATCCCAGCAGTCTTCCACCACAATGGGCTCGAACCCAATCGCACCGTCGGTCAAAAAGCACATAGCATCACTAAAGAGCCGCCAGTCCCGGATGATGTCCGGCACAGTCACAGTCTTGAGAGTGTTCTCGTCCCAGCTGGCGACACCGCCATGCAGCTCCGTTCCGTCGTCATCCACAACTACTTTCATGTGGGACCTCTTCAACAGGACCACAGCTACCTTGCCTACGTGCTGTGGCTTCTTCCCCGACCTCCGCCATTGCAACGCATACCAAAGAGCCAACAAATCTCCAGCATCATAAGCATCTGGCGCCTTGTGCAGCCGTAAATACTTCTCCAGTAGGATCAAAGCCTTCTCTTCCGCACCTGTGAGAAGTGGAAAAAGTCTATCAGAAGTTTAACCCAGCCCGTGCACCCTCCCCTGCAGTCCAAGGGCACCCTCTGCGATGCAGGCCCGGGCCACGGACAAGACCACGGCACCAAAGGCCTTGGCTTCGCCGTCAATGGCTGCCAGCAGCTGCTCCGCTTGAGCCTCGCAGGCGACCCGCAGGGCGAGGAATGTGCATCTCAGAGCGAGTCAAACGCTTTCAAGCCGGAGGACTACTTCTTGGCCCTTTGCTGGCCTCTGCAGCTTTTCCGGCGAACTCTGGGGATACTGACTTCAGAAATACTTCCAGGACCTGGGCTGGGACTTGTGGTGGCTGCAAGGCTGCCGACATGCATCCAAGCGACTTCTGTCCTCTTCGGGTGATCCATCAGGAAGCCTGCGGCCTTTGCGGCTGGCCACTTGGCCACTTCGACGCTCCGGCAAAGCACCGCAGCAGCTTCTTCCACGTCTTTGGGGCTCTCCTGCGTTTGGCCAATGGCTCCCACAGCGAACCGTACGCAATTCTCATAATTGCGTTCGCCGACAGCAGCGAAGGCGCCAGCGGTGGTTTGCGAAGCCATGTACTTGTAGGCTTCCTTCCATTGTGCGTCCCTGTAGGCCTCCCAGAATTTGTGGTGTTCCTTGACGTATTCGTCGTGCGACATGGCAGGAGCATCTGGTAGAGAGAGAGCTGCCGCAGCAGCTGAAGCACCGGTGCCCATGGCTGGCAAAGTCCGTCCGTGGCTTCTAAGTTTAGTGCACATCTAGCTTGGAAGTCTTAGCTATGCTTATAATCTGCGCATGCTCGGTCCCGCTCATGCCCGGCATGCTCACAAGCTGCAGTCATGGCCGGAGACACTATGCATGACACAGCCACACCCCTGCATCAAATCCGTGATGGCGGCGAGAACAGGTTGTAAAGAAGGCCTCCAGTTTATGGTATGTCCGGCATGCCGGAACCGCCGAAACTTGTCACATGCTCACGATTGCCAGTGTGTACAACTCTGGCGCATTTTTCCCACAATCTAGAAGGCTGCGCCGACTTCGACGGCCACGGAGGCCACGGCGGCACCCAGTGCTTTCAGCACCGGGCTCTGCGTTAGCAGCAGAGAGGATTCAGATCTCTGCGGATGACCCAGACTGTTCCGGGAGTACGATGCTTAGTTAGCTTAGTTACGGTTGGGTGTCAGGGGTACGCCATCCAGCATCTACGAACTGCCAGGAGTGGCCAAGGGTATTTCCTTGGCCTCCGCTCAGGCAACTGAAGGCTGCCAAAAGCCGAAGCCGTAAAGCACCTAGGCTCAACACGCGTTGTGCATGCTCCAGCAGAATAGAACTCCAAGAACCGCTGAAGTTGAGGGCAGCAACAGCAAGTCATGCTGTCGCCGTGCAAACGAGCAGTAGCAAGAGCGACAGTATGTTCCTTCTCTGTCCAGGGACAAGAAATGAAGGGCAAGAGAAACGACCAACGAGCTCTCTGTTGGCAGTGCTGGGCATAGAACACATTGCACTGTTTAATTCCTGAGGCCAACGACTCTGACCAGCATCATGTCCCTCAACATTGTCAGCGCGCCCGTAAGCAGATTCAGCCTGCAGAACCGGTGGAGATGCCCGAATCTCGAGAGCGAAGGAATCCGAGAAGAGCAGGGAGCTGATTGAAAGAAGAAGAGGACTCCGCTTGCGCCGTCCGATGGCTGTGGGACCCCGACTTTGAGCCGGGCATCTCCACCCAAGTCACCGGGACCTGCTCCAGGAAGCAGGCGGCTTTAGCTATCAGGGACACAATGACTAGTGAGGTGTGAAGTCCGGAAGATGCAGGAGGTTGGGAGGCTTGGCTCATTTGCTTTTAGTTCTTGTGGCTGGATGCGGACGAAACTCTGAAAAATATGGGCTGTGTGCCCACACCTCCATTTTCTGGACTGGTTGTACCTTCTTGAAAAACAAAGCTCCATCGAGTGGCAGAGCCCTAGATGTTGGCTGGCAAATCCCGCGCACCACTGTGGGACTGCGCAGGAGGAGGAGGAGCAGCAGCAGCGGCAGCAGCAGGGGCATGATTCGGCGGCCCGTTCTGAATCGGTTCTCCTGAGCGAGGCATGAAAGGTGCTTCGCGATTGCGAGGCTCTCTACTGACTCTACTGAGACATGGCCTGGCCACCTGGCCAGCTGTCACCGAGCCTCAGCCACGCCCTGGCCAAAGATCTGCGACAGAATCAAAACCTCTCGGTCTGGCTGACGACGCAGCTGCGGTTGTGCTGATGCGCGGCGGTTGCTCAAGCCCAAAGACAAGACCAAAAGCGGCCTCGATGTCGAAAGCCCAGCGATATATATGCAACGAAGCGAAGATTCGCTTCGCTGCCTATGCAGAGCTGCATTGCCACTCTCCGATGCTTCAGTGCAAAGTTCTGTTGGTTCTGTGGTGCCCCGCGTTGGCTTTGAAGAGCTTGAAGCCGCACTGGGTGTCGTTTATGACACCACCTACCTTAGCAAGCGGTGTAGCTGGCCATGTCCCTCCGAAGCACACCGGGGTCGCAGCCAGCAGCCACACCGCAAACTGAAAGCCAACCATCAGCACATTGCGATACCAGGCCCTGGCATGGGAGCACAAAACAGGATGGTAGGAAGCCAGACACGGGCAGTGAATGATATCAGGGGCCTCTTATTCAACGCTTCTTGTCGAAGATGATGCCTCGATCCAAAAGCCATATGAGGAGCATCATCCTGACCGGCACCATTTAGCAAAACTGCAGGCTTTTTAATCCATGCTGCAAAAGGCAACATGGTAATGATGAGGATAATGAAGAACGCGGTGAAGGTGCCAATCATGTTGATGATGATGGTAGCGGTGCAATTGCTGATCGCAATGTGCTGGATGCTGTTGCATCGGACAACAAAACAATGAAGATGTTACTGCTGTCAATTTCTACTGATGCTGCTTTTAGCTCTTTGACAGCTACGACCCCCACCAAAGTGTTGCCGCCACCGCGAAAAGGATGAAGAGGCGGAACAGGACGACGATTCCGACCACAACGACTCATGACGACGACCATTGGCACCACCTGGTGCTATCATCACCACCGCCGCCAGCACGACGACGACCACAAATGAAAGTACGACAATTACTGCAACCACAACAACAACGACGACAGCTACAAATACCGTGAGACAAGGACTCGGACCCGGGCTGGGGCGGGGACTACGAGTACTACTGCAGTGCCAATACTGCATGCGGGTTCGGTATCGAGTATTACCTGTTGGCTCCCTCACCGTGACCTTTTGAAAGGTTGTCCAAAAAGTTAATGGTGCATGGCTGAACCCAGATCTCACACAAGACGCGATCCCTTGTAAAGCAACGCTCTTCAAGCACTGACCGTTTGCTCTGCTGCGGTTTCAAAGGTCATTTTGACCTTCCTGGTTAAGACCTGTGACAGCCATGTTTGTCCGAAGCCATGAACCTGTCTGACGCCTCCCCAGCTATCGTGGCTATCGCCGGTTTTATTTTAACACCTGAGCTCCGCCCAGACCGTAAACAGCTGTGTTTTCGATGGTCCTTGCCTTGGACTTACCAGTCCTCCTTCGTTACTGCTGAAACTGCAGGAATGCCAAACAGACTCACAACCATGAATCATTCATGAACTGCAAGCTTTGGAGTCCTTTGCCCCGAGGCTTCGTTCAAGGCGCTCAAGGTCACGGATGGACGTTGCTCCGTCAGCATCCGCCATGAGCAGCAGCTGTCCTTTTGGGATGACTTGCTCTTGGTGCTGAGACGTCTGGAACCCAGGTGAACTATCTATCATCAGAACCCTGAGAATGTTTGCCGACAGCCAAAGTCGAATCACAGGGAGCAGTAGCAAGAATATACCAAGCAAACCCAATGCCGAGCACGTAAAGAATCCTGACAAGTCTACAGCGCAGGGGGCTGTCAAATCGATGCAGACCCGACCCGTCTGCCATGGCTGAGGAGTCCCTCTAATCCTGACGCAGTCTATGGAGGCTGTGCTTTGCAAACTCTCGGCAGAAAGGTTCGGGGTTTATGCTTTGAGCCTTGCCTCAACCTGCTCGGCTCTGTGTCGAGATTGGTTCGAAAAGCTCGGCAACCGTTGCTTCAATTCATCGGGTTCGTTGTGAATACTTGATGGAATGGAATCCTTGTGAGATCGTTTAACTACAAAACATGCAGCAAGCACCGGAAAGCCTCGTGCGGCTAACATCCCCGCGCGGACTGCAAAGCCCTTGCCGCCTGGCAGAATTCGGATGCGTTGGGTGCAAATCTATGCGAGGCAAGGCTTCGTGAAACTGGGAGCGTGTTGGAAGTCAAGCACATGGAAGGTCGGCGGTTGGCGAGGAGCTGTATTATCTTCACTTCACCATGGCGAAGTGAAGCTGCCCTGCATTCGGCACACTGGGAAAGTAACTCATCCAGAAGAGAAGACTGAGTCTTTCGCTCGACTGTCGTGACAAATTCTGAGGGAACGGCGTGCTTGCGGACAGAGCTGCGGCGTAAGTGTTGTCACTGCTGCCATCATCCACCACGATGATCTGGAAGGTTTGGCAAGCAAAAGTGTTGACGATGATTGAGGAATGATGAAGCCAACATGAGGACCTAGATCCAAGGCGCCAGAAACTGCAACACAGACCAAGCCTGTCAATTGAGATGCAAGGAGGCAAGAAACGAGGACTTCTGGTCAGTAGAAATGCCTGAAACTCCACTGAGACAAGGTCAATCTGAGCCGAACTGTTTCCCTGGTGGAGCTGAAATGGAACTGCCTTCACAGAGAACCCCTGCCTAGCCGTCAATGCGTGATTCAAGTGAAGTGCGCCCGAAGAGTAGACTTGACCGGGCCTGCCCGCCCACCTTGTCTAAGTCTTTCTCTCAAACCATTCCATCCATTCCCTCTGCCGTCCCGTGACATGCTTGACTTTGGCACGGGTGCCAAGTCTCTTACCATGCGCAGAATATAGAATTAGCTGCTTGGGTTGTAGATTTGTGCCGTCATGTCCTGTGTAAACTGAAGCTCCCGTAGCGGCCTCATAAGAGAAGGAAGACGATGCTCCGCGCCCCTCTAGATAGGTCAGCGTTTCGTCCAGCATCTGCGGCACCCGGTACTCCTGCCGCCGGAGATCCGGGCAAGAGTCCGAAATGTGTGCATGCCTCCTGTAGTTCTGAAGCGAGTCGCTGCCAACTGCTATCGGCCCAAGCGGCAGTTCGATTTTCTCTAGAGATTCAACTCAGCTCGGTGTTTGGAAGCATCCGATGCGACCTCGTTGTAGGCGGGCACGATGACAGACAACGTCACCTCTGGCGCCTGGGTGGGCTACGGAAGACCGAAGAGTCTGAGTACCCACAAAAACAGCGAGCGACGTGCGACTCCATGTGCTTAGGAGGCCTTCCAAGCTGGTGGGATGAGCTCGCCAGGGACGCATTGGAAGGAAGTCCTCCGCTCTCAGTGCTCCGCGAATGAGGCAGCTTCTGACATCCCTCATGGTCCATGCCCTATCATGATCCTCATTTTCTACTCACGAACCACCAGGGACCCCTGCAAGGACGCCTCGAGACTTGAGACTCGAGGGACTTATCGCAACTAGCCCTCCAGTCGAAGTACCTCTGGGTGTAGCAGGCGCTGCAGGGACAGAAAGTGCTGTGATCGTCGGGTTGCGTGTCTGAAAATAGACAGCGGGGCACGGCTTGAGCAAGAAGATGGCAGCAGCTGCTGCCACCAGCAGGAACAGCCCAAGAGACAGAAGGACTTCCATAGCCTCGGATATCACTGGCTAAGTCAAGACCTCGAATCACTACAGCTGGGCCACGCTCTCATTTCGGGCTTCGGGATGGAAGCAAACTGCTTGGCTTTGGTGCTAACGCATTCCGATGCATCTCTCTCATGTCTCTCGCGATAACATGCATTGTAGATGCCTCGGTGAATCATGCCAACCTTGAAGTGACAGTGAGGGCATCATGATGGCCAGCATTCCCTTTGCCTTTTCATTTGTTCCGGCCTGGTGGTTTCGGATTCTACCCCGCAACACCGAGCCAAGGCTCTGGCCCTTCTGGGACGGTCCTCAGCCCCCCTCCGCCCCTCCGCCCTTGAGCCATTCAGTGCAGCAGTGCTCAGGGCGCAGCGGCAAGGCCCAGCTTGAGAAGACCCTCCTATTAGCAGTCCGGTTCGTTCATGGGATGTTGAGCCCTCACTGACGGTGTCTCATGCAAAGGGGCCATCAGGCCCGACTTGTCATGGAACCTGTGACCTTCTGTACATGATAGAATTAGAATCCTTTGCCAAGGATTTTCTCTTCCAAAGCCCGTAGCTTCCAGCGGAGGCCGGGCCCGGAGTTTTGCTGACGAATCACAGCACAGGTTCCAAGAAGTCTGCACTATCTGTTTCAAAGGCGGCCGATCTGCCAACCACATGAAAAATGTCGTAGTCCGCAACGTGGCAGAGACAGCAACAAGCTTTGAGGCTTGGTGTGTGATTGGATTTGAGGCCTTACCGGACGTGCATCGCAATATGTGGCCAAGCAGAACATGTCGGCAGCACAGGGGGCAGGTCCAGGTAAATGCTCTTGGCCTATGCCAAAGCACCCTGTTGAGCCTGCAACGGATCAAGATCCAGACTGTTTGTCAAGTCCAGTTTCTTCCCTTCGGGAAGAAGACCAAGCATATACATGCTGCGGACATCATGCAGTGTTTGAAGTGAGCATGTCATAATCAGGACCATCCATTTTCGGGTCGTGAGTAGGGTGCCTTGGTTTCTGAAACTCCGAAACATAGCCAAAGCGAGGACGGCTATCGGCGCAGAGCTCAGTGGAGGCCTGCGTACATGGCCTCAGCGCAGGAGCCCCTAATGCAGCCTTTTGGGATGCATCGAAGCAGTGAGGTCAAAGCCTCGGCCACTTCTGCAGGCGTCGGGTTGGCCATGCCGTAGGAGTAGGTGATAAACCTCAGACGATCCGTGCACCCTGAAGTCGCTAAGGTGTGTCATTCGCTCAAGAAGCTGGGGACGAGAGAGAGAGGAGGAACTTGTGCACAGAAATATTGACGACGCACTGAAAAGAGGGGCACTAGAGTATAGATCAGCAGCCATGGAGGTGTACTTGCAAAGATATCTACCCCAAGGCTCGAACCACCTCTTCGTCATCTCCTTGGAGGAGCATGGCATGTTGACCTGACCAGCAGGCGGAAGGGCGGAAGTCCACCAAAAGCGAGAAGGGCGCGAACACGCCTGGTTCACCACGATGTCGAAGGACTTGAAGCAGAGGCCACGGTTGGCATCTCCCTTAGTGAGATCGAACCTCAGGGCAGCTCCAGCTCCGTGGACAGCGAGAGGCGTAGAGAGGCCGAGAGGCACGGTGGGCATGTTGCTCTGGCGCTCGATCTCTTCGTCGTAACGGACATCAGCCTCTTTGGTGCTGCAGCGCTGCACCAGGTCTCTAGAGAGACACACTGCAATGTCAGCACCATGACCGAACATGCATCATGCGACCGTTTACCGACTTCCCCAAGCGCCTGTGCAGCCAGGTGCGCCTGCGCGGCCTGCGAGGGACGGCTGCCCGGACCGAAAGTGAAGTCCTCGCGATTGTAAGGTTTTGGAACAGACGGCAGGAAAAGGAGTCGCGATTACAGTACAATAACACTGTTTTGTTTTGGCTCTAAAGTCAAGTGAATTTCACAAAAGGGAAGCAGCGGCAGGCCGCCTTTTTGGACCACACACCCGAGTTTTCAACACAAGGCACAGTGTTTGGGCTCGGACACGGCACTGTCAGCTCGGTTTCGCTGGCCCTTTTGAAGTGACAGGTTGAGGATGTCGCCAGATCAGCTTGCTGTGAAGGGCAAGCTTGCATCGTGCCGGAGTAGAATGCGAACTGCGGAAGTCAGTGTAGGGCAGGGTGCACACAGAAAATTACACACCTTTCCATCTGCTGTTCACAGGTTCTCCATCCCGCTCCTGCAGAAATCGTCTGAGCCCGGCATTCGACATCAAGGGCCGGCCCTTCTTATCGCGGGAGGTGCTGTACTGCGAAAACAGCTCCTGCACAACTGAGAGTATGATGAGACTATAACAAATCGGCCGGAAAGGAAGCGTCTCTGTAGTCTCCTGGAGGAATTCGGAAAGGTCGTTGTCTGTTACAGCGGACTCCGGCTCTGAGTCCGACTCCTGAAAGGATGCAAGAAGCTGGATGTGAGGCATTTGGGCCAGGGAGGTAGTGCTCCTTCCGACCGTCTTTTCGAAGGCGCCTTGACTCGTCAGCTTCAATTCCCTCTGCCTCCAGAAGGCTCGGAAGTCTTGAAATCGTGCATGGAGTGCAACCCTTGCAAGCCTCTTGGCGGCCGGGCACTGTCGCAAAGGCTCTTCCTTTGCTGTGTCGTCTCGAGCTGCGCCGCCTGCCTAGCAGCGAGCACAGCGGAATTTGTCGTCAGTTTGCTGGCACAGCAGGGCCTGAACTGGCAGCACCCGTGTTCGCTGCACCACTGGACGTGCCCTCGTTGCCTCGTTCCTAGCAGCCATCAAGTTCTGGCTGAAGAAACGGATGGCAACCTCGCCTCGATCTTCTCTGTCTTGGGCCTCCTGGAGGAAGTCTTCGAGCTTCTTCGCCTAGCTGGAGCCCGCAGTGCGCGAGTCGAGGTCTCTTCGGCAGTGGCATGTTCTTGTTCGGCCGAATCCGCAGAGCCCTCTGCGGAGTCTGCAGAGGGCCGCTCTGCCCGCTCCGCCGCGCAGGGCTCTGCTCCCTCTCCCTGGCACAGGCCGGACACGGCCGCGGCGCCGCCCGTGACCGCCGATCTCTGTGGGCTCTCGGTCGGCGTGGCCACGGTGTTGCCGCCGCCTCTCGCGGCGCCGCCCGTGACCGCCGAAGTCTCCCTCTCCGAGCTCCTGGTCGGCGTGGCCATGGGCGTGGCCCGTGCAGGGGGCTGGTGCCACTCAGATCCCGCAAACCTCAGGTGCACGTTTGGTGCATGTGAGCTGCAAGCGCTGCTGAGTGCTGCTTGCTGAGCGCTTTCCCTCTGAGGCTTTAACCTCTCCCCGACTTGCGCATCTGAGACCGCTTCTCGCGGCACCACCGCATCGTGAGGCCCACCATCAAAGGTGTCAATGGAGTCTTCAGCTTGCCCTCCTCCTGAAACACAGACCACAGAGAAAACCCTTCTGAGCTGCCGGCTGTTTTGTAGGCTGCCTGCCTGGCTTCTTTGAGCTCAATGCCTCGCTCCAGGGCTCGCCCTCATTGCCTTCACCTCCCAAAAAGAGATGGACATGGCTGTTTTAGAAAGGAGCCTTACGAAGAGTTTTCTGTTCACAGCCTGGTAACTTCCGACCTTGCCGCACGGGCACACAAGGCACAGGAGTTCGCCTCCGGTCACTCCAGGCATGGGCAGTAGATCCAGAAGATCCCCTTCCTCACCGAGCTCTTGCTCGTGAGCAGGGCTCAACCTCTGTGCCCGAGCTTGTGCGGCGGCATCGGTCTGTGCATCGACGTCTTGCCTTTCCGGTCCAGTTTTTGAGCTCCGTGAAACCTTGCGTCGCCTGGCAGCGGAGCTGTCGGCATTCTCCGCAATCTGGCCCTCAAGTTCGTTGCAGTCTGCCATCGTCATAGGATGCCTTGGAGCAAGGACATGCCCAGAACTGGCACCGTTTGTGCCTCAGGCCGCCACCTCGCCAACTCCTCAGAGTCTTCGCAGGCCCCCTCCTGCCGATCGCCTGGTGCCATGGTAGCCTCTGCATGCCTGCCATCAGCCCACAAATGGGCCAAGGCTTTAGGGGTGGATGTCTTGCCGGGGAATTTGGGCCTTGCGCCGTTCCTTCTTGGAGCCGTGGTGACGGAAGTGCAGCTTGGATCGCTCTCTTCGAACTTCCGTAGGGTGGAGTTCAAGGACTTTCGGATCACCTGCCATGAGGATCGTAGTCATCAGACTGCTGCTGAGCCTTCCCTGACCCTCGCTCCTCGCTGGCCGGTGACGGCACGGTTCCTGGTAGCGAGCTTCTCCGTTCAAGGCCTGGACATGGAGCACTTACCGTGCTGATCGACTCCTCCGTTTCATAGGCCTTCTCACCAAAGACAAGACGCTGGATGTCGCCAAACGAGCAAGGATGTCCAGTGGCCTTGCAGACAACCTGGCCTTGCCGTGGGAGGTCGTCGGAGGCGGAGGAGCTTTCCTGCACGTACTCGCTGGCCCGACGAGGTCTGCCTGCCGCAGCATGCAGGTCGCAGCAGGTCGCAGGTTCATGACACTTTCTGCTTCCGATCCGGCCAGCGCGGCCTGCAGCAGGGCCACGCGGTGCGGCACCAGCCGATCCCGCTGGGTCCACGGGACAATTTTGGGATGCTGAAGCCACGGCACTGAACTGATTCAGAGTCCTGGAGTCCCGCGGCATCGACTGACTTCCTGCACATGGCAATATTGAGAGATATTGAGAGCTGGCATGTTTCCTTCTCAGAGTTGCCGGGGTGCTGCTTGAAAGCATTGAACCACGAATGCTATGCTACTATGTGCGTCCGATTGACACTACCACTGATCATGCTATGGCTGCTATGGTATGCCAGGAAAACGCTGAATTGCTGTACTGGCCGGCGTCGCCGACGGGCCTTCCAGCTCGATGTCGAGCCCTCCTGGCATAGCAGCATAACCGAGCGGCAAGAGAATTTTCCCCTGCAAAAGCCCGCAACCGCTGCCCGCAGCCTCCAACACCTCCGCCTCCAGCTCCAGCCATTCCAGCCTGCTCCAAGGAGAGGCGACCTGGCGAAGCTTCAAAGCGGCCAGGCCGTCACTCCCGTCGGTGCGCACAACTGCCTCCTGGCTCTGTGCGCACGTGCGATGGCGAGGGGTGCGGTGGGCCCAAGGCGTTCTGGGCGACTGCTACAAAGGCCTGGCAATAAACTCAGTAAACGCGTAGAACGTCGAATTCGAAATGCTTCGGACGAGCCTTGCCAGTCCCTTCAGCCACCGCACCCTTTACGAAGGATCGCCATCACATCACAGTGATCACTGCACACGGCTGTGTGTCTAAGAACTGGGCATGTGTGTGCGAGTGTCGTCTCCGCAGCTCCCCTGAATGCACCTGACTTAAAAGGGCATCTCTGCTTGCGCAGAGATGAAGGCATGGTGACGGCCTGTGGCGTTCTGGGAGTTCTCGCAGTCAGGACGGCCGTCCGCTTTAGTTGGCCCGTGCCTGAGGAGTTTAGGGACACCAAGGTCCCGTCCGGGCAAAGCATCTGGGGCCCTGGGGCCCATGCGACCCACGATTCCGAGGGAACCTGCCGCACTCCACGTGTGCTGACACCGATGTTGCTTCTGACAAGTCTGTGGCCACGCGACAGTACGAAGGCGGCATAGGTCAAGCCCCCACATTGAGTTCTTGCAACACTCGACACATCACATAGGCACGTGGCCTTAAAGCTCTGCTTCCCTTGTATGTGGGTAGCTCTCTAAATTAGGGTCCGTTTTGTGGGTCCCAAATTTAGTACGGCACCCTTATAAAAAGGTACCCTAAACGCGACCCTAGTTTAGAGAACTACCCATGTGGATGCTGCTCCACAGCTGGTTGCAAAACCGGAGCTTTCCCTGCCACAGAACAAGTAAACTCTTCTTCCGGAAACCAGGATCCAGCCTTCCAGTTCCGGGACCTCCGGTGGCCGCGGAGACGGAGCCGCACGGCCACCAGCCATCCTGCTTGGAGAGCTACGCTTGGAAAAGCGAGTATCGAGAAGTGGGTCCGAATTGAGCCTGCTCATTGACACCTCGACAGACCGCGGCTCCGGTCAGGAATCGGCCGGCCTCCGCATTCAATCGGCATCATGTCCGCCGGGGGCGGGAGGACATCTACCGTTCCACAGCTTTCGTCGCATGGCCCATGTCAGCTTCTTATGCTTGCATGCTGGTTAAGTTCTTGACTTTGAACCAGAAGCAGCCAAACTCCAATTCCAGTAATGTTGCACCCTAAACCCTAAACAGCATCTGACAGTCTCCGACCAGTCCTCTTTTTTGATCTATTCGGGGAGCCGAGAGGAATGCCGTCATCTTGACGGACACTGCGGCGACAGCGAGGAGCCTCTGCTTTGCCGCTGGCCGCTCCCCGACGGCTTTGGTCAGGAGCTCACAGTGGCGAGGCTGAGATCCCCTCTTTGGGAAGACCTCGTAATTTAAGCAAACTGCGGCATCAAAGCGTGCCAGCTCCAATGAAATCGAAGACGACCACTTCCTGTTCGGGACTAGGCTGGGGGAAGCCTGACGAAAGTTGAAGGCTCCTTAGCTTAAAACGGGACTCTCGAGTCCCGGCCTGCTTGTCTTTCTGCTTGAACTTGTAAGCAAAGGATCCATACTCACCACCCACCTTTAGACTTTAGAATGCACTCGGACAGGTTCCCTGACCGCATGACAATGACACTTCCGTTTGCCATGGCCTGCTTCTCTCTTCCAGCCTCAACCCCGGTCTTTGCGGACACTTCGTAGGGCGCCAAGTACGCGAATTCTTCAGCTCCACGTTTCTGCGGCCCGCAGCTTCAAGCAAAAACTCAGGGCAGTGTGAGGTCAAGCAGGGGCACCGACGAAAACGTCAGCATGTGAACATGGACTGAAGCAACTCGAAACAACAGCTTGGTGCATGCCTCTCAGTCGACGGTCACTGACCAGTGCGTATGTAGTCGTGTACATAGACAGACGTACGTAACTGCATGCATGCATAGCTACTGACACACACACACACGACACGTCGCAGGCGTCGACTATTCAAACTTACATAGTAATTCACAACACAAGAACATCATATCCACCATCCTCTGGGCAAGCCAGAGGTGGGGTCGTAGATGAGCAAGGTGTTCTGTGCATCGAGGATATTGGCATGCTTCGAAGCAAAGAGTGTATGCGTACAGCACGTCGCTTCTCGCGCCACGGGTGCCTTCAGGAACTCCAGAGTAACCTCGTGCCAATAGCCGATGTCATCGGCCCTCAGGAGATCTCAGTGGCTTCAAGGGCTGGCTCTCAGACTTTAAGCCCACGGCTCGAAAGTTTTATCATCTGGGCTTCTTCCTTTCAGCTCTCGTCTTTTGAACTGCATTTTGGCGCGACCGACGGGGACAACGGCCTCACATCGCAGAAACGAGGAAGTCCATCCGTGACCCCGGTGTCACATGTGCCCCAGCAGACACCCAAAGATGGACATCTTGCGGGCAAAGAGGCAATGATCGCAACTATCTTCGACTCCTCGTTGAGGTAGCAGAAGCCTGTGAACAAACGAAAAGGCGATCTTGCTGTTTGTGGCAAGCAACGATGCAACCACGACCTCCGTTCTCAAGCACAAAGGCCACAGGATTTTGATCCTCACAACGGACTTGATTCGACAAGGCCACACATGTACATGTCATATGTCCTGCTTCAAGTGACCGAAGGTTTCCACCAACTCTGGCGCGGCATTGCTGCCCAATTTGAGGGGATAAATCCAGCAACATTCCTCTGCGTGCAAGGTTTACCCATGCCAACTTGGAAGTGAACGCGCTCCTGAGCAAAAGCATCGATGCCCAAGGCCTTTCGCGTGGCAGAATCGTCTTTGCCCTGCGGACCGAACAGGACACAGAACTCAGTTTAAAGACTTTTAGAAACGAAACGTTTAACAAAACAGACGGTAATTTCGACAATTGCACATTTGGCTTCGTTTTCAATGTTATCACAGGGTGTACGCTTCTTCTTGTTACACTCTTTGCTTTTTCTGAATTGGGTTACTGCGATTGTAGTTCCGAAGAGCAAAGAGCTTCGCGCTCCACGTCCAGACTAAATGCACAATCCAATGTCTGTTTGCAAATCTTCCACAAGAAACCCACGTCTCGGCAGTCGGTCAGGTTTTCGCTTCTGTACACATCTCCTTGCAACAACGCTACGTGTATGAACATGTCTATACCACTTCTATCCCTTAACCCTGCAAGCGGGACAGTGTTCTTGGTGGTCGATCTGCTACACAGTTTCGGATGATCATCAAGCTGCAAAACGCACAGCTGAGTATTGCTGCTCTACTGCTTCACTTGTGTATGCACTTGCAAATCCTCTGGCCCGTCGCCTCGTTCGTGGCCGGCAGACGCACTTTGCGCAGCGGCGAGCAGCGAAGTTCGGAGGCTGAGAGCAAGGGAAAGAACAAATTGAAGTTTGAAGCACAGCATTTCGGGCTTTCAAAGCTTGAAGCTGATGCCAAGCCCTAGCGGCCCTAGCGGCCCTAGCTAGCCAGCATTGCACACGATCTCCTAGAAGCCCGGACTCAGAACGTTGGACAAGCGTCGAGGCATCTTCACCGTCGACCTGCAGATAGAGATATCTGCTGTCCATGGTTGGCATATCCATCGATTTCGCTTTGTGATGGCTCCCGACCATGCAGAAAGCAAGCCGCGATGCAGTCATAGCTTACACAGGGCTGCAATCAGGAAGGCCATGCACAGGAGAAGCACACTCTCGCCGCTGAAGGCCTTTTCCAGTCGAAGAACATCTTGCGCTTGTCGCTGGGATCGAATCGGAAAAGCCTGCCAGCCGCACCGCGGCCCATGACGAAAGACAAGAAGTTCTCTGAGCATAGTAGAAGCATGTCCGAGCCAGGTCTGCCAAGTTGCTCCAAGCTCTCGGACGAGATGCTCGTCAGGCTCAGTGGCCGCAAAGACTGTGGGAAGTCCACAGAGCTGCGCATCGACTGCGTCGTGTCCATGCGCGCCCGCAGGCCTCTGCAAGAGTGGGACACTCTGCTTTGGTCATCGCTGCTTATCTCGTTTCAACGGTCTGTCTCCAGCCTTCCCAAATGCCGCTGTGATCGATGGAATCGACGGCTTGCAATACCTTGCAGACTCTTCGGGCCAAGTGAAAAGGTGTGGGCACTTCAGGCTTCTCGATGCTGACACAAGAAAACCTTGCTGAAGTAACGTCGTGCCACCGGGGAGGGGCCGTTGTTCTTTATCCGTGCCTGGGAAGACGAAACTAAGGTCTCAGGAGAAGATCTCTGTCGCCCGCTCGCTGAGAAGCAGGCTACAAAGTCACAAAATGGAGTCAGGACATTGAGCGTCTTGTCCTGAGGTTAAGCCAGGATCCATGCAAGGCACGGAAGTGCATTCACGTGAGAACGACATCACTGAACATTGAATCTTGAAATTCTGAGCAAAGTCTCCATCGATGCCATCGAGGCCCGAACAAGCTCAGGCGGCACGTGCCTCGACCACAGACATCTGCAGTATTTCGGCCAGACTGTTGGACATGGGACGGATGCAGGGGACGACAAGTGGAGAGTAACGGTGTAAGGAAGAACCATGCAAAGGGCAACGTGACAGTATCACAAACATCAGCGAAGGATTGCACGGTCTTTGAATTTTGAGCGTGAGATCAAGAAAACTCGAAGCTGGTGAAGCACAGCTCAGTCATTGCCTTCCATCTGGTCCATCCGCTCGTTCCTTCACGCGGCGCAGAATGGTCTGCTCGTCCGCTCCCTTATGAGCTTCAGCTTTGGGCTCACAAGTAACTTGTTAATCGTGCATGTCTTCCATACTTCGCCGCTGCACCGTTTTAGTGACGGCACTCCTGACCCCTGCGACGAACACCACGAAGCGAACGAGACGCAAGTCTCTGGCACTTCCGAGAACACAGGCAAGGGTCGATGTAGAATATGGCAATGTGGTAGTCCCGGTACTTGGAACCTCAGCCCCGACAGTTGCGCTTCAAGAAGCCTTGCTGCTGCTGACGCATGGAGCTTCAACTTCGAAATGTCCCGGTCCAATAACATCTGTGACATCCACGAGTACAGGCTTGTAGGAACCTTTGACATCCTAGAGGCTGCCTTTGTGCTCGCTGCAAGACAGCATGCTTGGAGACGACATGAGGACATCGACCAAGGGTGCCGATTCTTTGGCGGCATAGCTGGGCTGCGTACGGATCGTCTCGAACTGCTGCGCATACCATTCGGCATCCTTGAGCGATCCTTTGGCGCAGTGAACATGACATGTCCTCAAGGCACAGGGTGTTGCCTGCACTTGCAGGCCAAGCAACCATCAACCCAAACGTTGAAGTTCTTCTGCATCGCAGCAGCTTGTGCAATCTCCATCATGTAGGCTGACCTCAGTTGCCAACGCAGACGGTGGATAATGGCTGCAAGGGTTGGTGGTTTTGAGCGTCAGACTCTCGATGACAGTGGGTCGCTGCCATCTTCTTGTCGTATTCTTTGTACTCAGGCATCATTTCTTTGATCGCGTCTGGATCGATCTTTACCATGTTCTCCCTGGCCACAACAGCCATATGCCGGCACATTCGGATAGAACTGCCTTCTTAGAGGTGAAAATCTAGAAATGCGGTCAAGGGTCTGCATGTTGAGATAGCCTTCTTTGTTGAGCCATTGCAAAGTGAAGCTCCTGAGTCGAGAACTGGCTTTCCAGCTCGGGAAATCGGGTCCTCTTCGTGTCACAAATGCTAGAAATCTGGGCATATGTGGGCGTTGGGCCACCGAAACCTGCGAGCCAGGAGCTTTCCGACTCCCATAGGCCCGCAGGTGTACAACAGCCATGGACTTTTCTCTTCCTTCAGGTCTTCCAAAAGATCATCGATCTGCGCATCCTGCCAGACTCCATCTCTCGCGTGAAACCCTGGCATCTTGCAAGAAGAGCTGTGTATCTCCTGCCATATCTGACGGTCCAGGTTGTAAAGCCCATGATACTCAGCATCACACCTTGGTGCTTTGCTGCAGCTGTCCACGGAACGCAAAAAAATGCTACGCTACTTCTGCCTCGCGGCCAAGAGGCAACTTTCGGAAGCTACGATACTTCTCAGCATA